ACCTTGTAAGTCAAACATTGAGTGAGTTGATAACTTTCCCTTGGAATGAGAAATCGAACTAAGGTGTTTTTGATAGATAGGTTAATCGAACCGACGTTCCTACGGAAGTCGATTCTAGGGGGAAGCTAATGTAACAACATAGGTTGGTTGGTTAAGAGTTGACCCCAAACAACCAAGCATATGCCAAAACAGTATTGTTCAAGTATTCATTCACTTCCTTATTTTGTATAAGCGTTATATTCCTTATTATCTTATATTGAATGCTGAAAGCCTTTGTTTGTCTGAACAGATAATCCCACGCTCGACTGTCACTGCGCTAAGATCGAAATAAACACGTACTCCATAATTCTGTGGTTTCTTCTATCAATAGTACGGGGGTTACCTATAGGCACGAAAAGTTCACTACCGATGTGCTGTACCTCGATTCGGTATCTAGCAACCGTCTAGAGAAAAATGCCAAGGGTTGCCAGGAGTTGTTAACACATTGTTGTAAGACTGCTGCAATTGCTGAGTCGGATGCGTCTACTGCGATACTAATGGGTGTTTGAGTGTCCTGATGTGCAAGCATTGTTGCTTTAGCGATGAGTTTTTTAATTGTGGAGAAAGGTTTTCGTGCGGTGTCGTCCAAATTAATGGATTTCGCATTTCCACGAAGTTGGTCGGTAAGAGGTTTCACAAGTAATGCACATTTCGGTATGAAGCGTCTATAGAAACTAATTGACGTTAATATATTTGCTCTTAACTAATACTGGATATGATCCTTCCGTAGAACTTTACACGTCTACTAAGTTAAATTATAACTGTCTCTGTTCACTCAATTAAACTTTATGTTTACACTGCATTAATATCCAGGCCATCTAATAAACATAATCTCTCCTGATACGTATAGCACCTGCAAAAGATCTAAATCAGTCAATAAAGTGAATAATGTGAAAACTTATAAACACAATGACCAGTCTGCATCCTACTCAGATCTTCCTTAAGCTACACAAAACGTGCACAGTTTATTTGGGCATGACATATCACTACCTTGTATCTCGCTTGTAGATATAAATAAGAGCAGTCACATACGTTAGAGTCGATATCATTTGTCAGTCCAGACAAAAGCATCACATGTTGTGAGCAGTATTAAGACATCGCGGCTGACCCCGAAGTTTTACAACAGCGATCATAAAATAGTCCCCTGCACCCTTCCGATTCTTGCCATGTGAAACAAGTTGAAGATATTAAATACGCGTTTCCAATATAGAGATTATGCAAACGCTGACTGGGAAAACTTTCGGTTTCTAATAAATCACTCTGACTGGAGCAGTTTCTTTATCAGTGATAGCCTCTCAGAAAAATTATAAGAATTCAATACCACCACCAAATCTGCACTAGACACTACTATACCCTCTAAAATTGAAATTAAAACAATTACTCCCCATATAAACCAAACGAATAGGTCTAAACTGCGAAAACTGAAAAGGGCGTACTATAGTTCAAAAGACTTCAGTGCCCTGCACCAGATATACTCTGTACTTGACGGAGTAAAAAGTCAACGCAACAAGCATAAACAGGCAGAGAAACGTACTGAGCTCACTGATGCATCTAAAGCTTAAGCATTATGTCGTCTTCTCGCAAAAAGCATAAGAAAAAATGCAGATCACAACATTCACTCCTTACTGCACGAT